AACATGGGGTTAATATTAATAAGAACATAAGAGAGTAAATCACAATTAGAAAGAATGGAATGTTGAAGATAAAGCAGGACTAAGAATTATTCGGCAAGCAAAGTCTAGAATCAAGACAATTTCCATATTGTAGGGTCTGAGTAGCACAGAGCAAAGGTGAACTGCATTTCTCTAGTACCCTGGAAGGCCTTCATTTTTTTACTCCTGAAGCAAAAAAATCCCTGGTTTATATTTCTCCCTCTTCATTATACTACCACCATGAAAAACTTCCTATGAAATTTTCTATACCTTAATGAATTTTTTAATAAAAGAATGGAGTGACTTTAGGTGCCCACCAGTATGGACAAGGTGAGAGCTGGACAAAAGGCTCAGAGAATCTAGTGAAAGTCTAATAGTTTGGGAAACTAAAAAGAGTTACAATAATTTAATCTACATCAAAAAAAGACAACCAGATTTTTCCTAATTAAAAAAATAAAGAGGTGAGGCACTAGGGAGATGAAGAATTTACAGTGGAAATAGAGTACAGAGCTTCTTAGGAAATCAATCAACTAATTTGGACCTGTCAAAAATAGAATTTTCTGAAACCAAGGATTTGGGTGGTATATTTCCATTTTCAACAATCAAAAGGAAAATTACTACTGATTCAGAAGAGAGTTAAAAGGCTTCAAGGTTTAGAGGCTGGGGGCTAAATCTGGGAGACTTCTGCTAAATTCTGAGACTTAGAGGGACAATTGGGACAGGTAAGTGACAATGGTACACTCTACCTTTTGGGTATCCAGAATACAGGCACAGTTTAATATTGGGGTTAATCCCCCTGTAGCAAACATCAGACTAATGCATTTTGAGCTCTTACTCCAATGCCTAAAACTGAGCACAAGTATCATTCAATGTTAGATGGATTCCCTGGGGATTTGAATAAAAGGAACATCCAGTTATTAGCTCACAGCAGGCATCTGAAAGGTAGAAAAAACTTTAAAGAGTGTCTGGTTATGCCTCGTTATTTTACTTGCGGACATGGAATCCAAAAAGCATAAAGTGTCTGCCCCAAGTTTTCATGGGTAGTTAGTGGCCAAGCTGGGACTAGACTACAGTTTTCCTGACTGCATCCAGTGCCCTTTATAAAGCCAGCGGGAGCTGTGAGGCAATCATCTGTAGGATCACCTGAGTCAGTCAGTTCTCTACCATCTGGCCTAACAGGAAAACAGTGACTCACAGAATCCACTGTTCCTTTGGAATGCAGGAGAGGTGTGCCTTTCTGCTGTGCTGTGAGCCTTTCAACTTTTGTAAATAAAACCCTATTTTAAATGCCCTGGGAAAGCTGGCAATTTTAAGTGCCTTGCAGGCAAGGTCATATTTGGTGATACTTAGCACAAGCTTAAACTGACTGATGGGGTCACTCATTTGATAGATGGAGAGAGGATTTCTGTACTTCAAACTTCAAATAGTCAGTGATTTTTTTTTTCTGCTTAAACCAAAAGCCCTGTTCATTTGCATTCTGAAGCACTTGGGAGTGGCAGGAAGAATAGGAGGTTGAAATTTGCCAAGGGTAACACATACAAAATGATTGAAAGTTGGCTGTTGAAAATGTGAAGGTAAAGCTTTCAAAGCCAGACTCCCTTGTTTTCTTCTCCAGGAACCCTTGGAAACTCAAGAATCTCATACATCACACTTAGTATCTGGGGGACAGATACTTTTTGATAACTGTAAGGCTATAACAGGTGAAGAAGAGACTGGTTCCTCTGACACACAGAGCAGACACCACCCTTTACATTAATCGCATCTGTCATCCTGGCCACACCCTGGGAGAAGCCTGCCTTCCTCTCCTTACAGCCATACAGGGCACTACAGAAACACTCTGGGCTACAGCCACCTTTATTTCTGCCACCTTAAGCAGGCCTCCAGGTCTGTGGGGCAAAAACACTTAGTTTTCTCTATTTCTAACTATGATGATGACCCTGAACAACCAGCAAGCATTTATCTGCAAGACAATATTCAAAGAAAAGTGAAATCTTAATAATATGCCCTTTCCTTCATGTCATTCTTCTGCTCAAAAGTCTTTAATGACTCCTCATTGCCTACATTATACAGTTCAGACAACTGAGGTGACATTTAAGGCCTTCCACAAGCTGACCCGATCTCTCCTTTCCTGTTTCTGAGTCTCACTGTTCTGCTACATAGGCTCTTCCCTTCAGTCATGCTAGTCAATTCATCACCCTCCAAATACTCATGTATCTTTCCCAGCTGAACGCATTCCCTCTTTACACTACTGTTCATCACCCATCTATGCAAATGCTAGTTTGCACATCCAGCTCAAATACCACCTCCTCTCAGCAGCCTCTTTGCTACCCAATGACCAGGATTTCAGGCTTCTTTTTCTTCATGAAAACAGATCTACGTTCTTGTTTCCCTCTGCTTTAAATACCCCACACCATTTGGTGCCCATTCTTAACAAATATTTGTTCATTAATGAACTCTAATTAAGCCAAAAAAGTTTCCATTTTCAAAGCTCTTTAAAATAAGGTAATCATTTGTAGCTGTTATTATATCCACGCAATGGTAAACTTCAGAGTATCCAGTATGTTGTCATTGGATTCTTTTCTCTCCACAGAAGACCAAACTAGGTCATTTTAAACTTCAGTCACTTTCTGAGAGATTCTAGAAGGGCAAACTAAGAGTCAGCAAACAGATCACATTCCTGGATTCTTGACTTGTTATCCAGGTCTGCTACTGAATCAGATTCAGGCATGTGTGAACTGGAGAAATGAACTAATCATTAGCACCACCCAAACAAAATGAAAAGAGCTCTTTTGTTACCTTGGCTGGATATTCAGGTTTGAAAGCAGGGAGGAAAGGAGGAAAAGGAAGGACAACACAGCCATCAATTGCCTTCCTTTCAAATGTGATTTTCGTGCCTTTTCTGTTTCTATTTTTCACCACCATGTGATGGCACTGTAATGCTTGGGAGGCATTAAATCAGGATTGAAAAGATGATTTGCTGCAAACTGATGAGAATATCTACTAATATGTTTATCACTGAAATGCTCCTCTAACTGGGTCCTGTTTAGTTTGTCCAGATCATATTTCTTCGCTAAATTAAAAAGTGGTACCCTGCCTGTAAAATCACATCTGATTTCAGGGGTCAGTCCCAGAATAGTCAATGTAATCCCATTTCTAGGTCCAGTAACAGGGATTATTGATTTCATAGACTTCATTTATGGATCTAGCCACATTCTGAAAGACAGACATACTATTTGGAAAGAAGAAAACTGAGTTATGGAGGGTAAGAGGAGAGTCAAACCAAATAGCAAATGGGCAGGAAAGCTAATGTGGAAGCTCTAGCTTTCTAAGCATTCATTAATTCTTTTCTTCATTCATTAAACTAATAAATACTCATCATTCCCTGTGTCACAGTTCAACAGTGTCATTTATTCAATCAGACTATCAATTAAGTATTTATTTTCTGCTAGCTAGTTAACCACTAGATATAACTTCAAACAAAGTCCAAAAAGTTACTGAATATAATTTGAATAGGAGGCACAGAAGTAAAAAATTACAAATATTAAGAAAAATAATGAATGTCAAAAATTGTAACATTGGATAATTTTTCCAATGTCAAATTTGTTTATAATAAAGATCTTGAAGTTTTCCTCTCATATATAATTAATCTGCCTTCATACTCCAGGCACATGGGGGGGGGGGGTCTTAGTTGTTGATTCCCAGGTGTATCCAATTGAGAATAAATTTAGTTACAAAAGAATTGAGGCTTTAGTCTCTAGAGGCAGACATATAGGAATATGAATATGTAAGAAAAAAAAACTAAGTCCAATGTAAACTTAGCCCATATGGCATCTAGTATTAGTATTATCCAAATGCCACTTTTGGGTATTTTCTTAATAGATTTCTTTAAAACTCTTTTTTATAATTGTGGACTACTCTAGACCAATGGTTCTTAAAGGGAAGAGGGAATTTTGACACCCCCTGGGGACATTTGGCTAAGTGTAGGGACATTTTCAATTTTCACCACTTGGGAGGGTGGATGGGCCGGGGGAGTGCTACTGGCATCTGGTGGGTAGAAGCCAGAGATGCTGCTCAACATTCTAACATGCGCAGAAGAGATCCCCACGACAAAGAATTATCTGACCCAGGACATCAACAGTCCCCACTTGGAGAAACCCTGCTCTATTGGCCACCATCTTTCATTCTCTTGGAGCCTGGTAACCTTCAAAGAATCAGGGTCTAACTTGAGGCCAGGCTAAGTGTTCTACATGCAGGCCAGGTGCAGAGTGCACGGTTGTGCAAACTCACCAGCTGTGGCTCCCTCTCTTGTTAGTTTCAACTAGTTGTTTAACCGCTTTAAGAGTCCTTTCTTAAAAATAAAAATCTACACAATAACGGATCATACTTACCTCATAACTTTGTGGTGAACACTGAGTCGTTATATATACATTTATATCAAGTTATATGTAGTCATACATAGTTTTCTATATAGTTCTATATAGTTTTATATAGTTATATATGGTCAAATATAAATACACTCAGTAAAAATTCCCCTATTTTCCCCAGCCCGCCCACCTATTCCCCACCCCTCCCGACCCCCATCAGTAACCCCATCCCCAAGGCTCAGGTTCTGTGTTTTAAAACACTTTAATTCCTTCAGCAGTAAAAGTGAAGCTTGGGCTGGTAAGTGAGGCACACTCAGAAGCTAAAGGAGCTTGTTTTTCTTTCTCTGAAAGCATTTGTTAAGAATTTTTGCCTGATCCTTCAGCCTCTTGTTGGTTGAATCCTCTCTTAATGTTTAAGACACACACAGAGAGCCATGGCACCAAGACATTTTCCAATGGTTAGGAATGAGAGTTTTTTACATACCGAAAATAACCAGAGGGCAGAGAGCCCTGAAATCCTGTTACATAAGCAGATCTTGGAGGACCGAGGCTGGTTTTTAGGTTCCTTTCTCCACAAGCCAATCTCTGCTGATCCTCCCCAACCTTTGCTGGATTTACCTTAATGCTGCAGAAGTCTCAAGAGGGGCCCCTGGACGCTGCACACTAGGGGCAGCAGGAGAACTTTCTTGTAAACTAAGCACGGCCGGGGGTGATGAGTGAAGGGTCTGGGTTTTCCTGGCGGGCGGTGGGCTGACCGGGCCGGGGGCGCAGGGGACGGCCTCGTCCGTCGCGCGGGTGAAGGTCCACCGCCCGCGCTCTTGCGGGCTCCGCGTTGCGTCCGCCCAGCTTCCCCTCCTTTGCCCGGCTTAGGAACGCTCCAGTTTGCCTGAACCGTTATTTAGCTTTTCGAATTCACCTTCAGTGATAGCAGTCACCCACAACCCCACCTCGCCCCATCCAAACGAAAAAACAATTCAATTCCCCTTTCCTTCCCATCTTGCGTGTTTGGAATGTCTGTCTCCTGTTAATTTTCTCCGCAACCTTTTCTCCACATGTGGTCTACAACCCTTTCTGTATTTCTCTTCGTTGTTTTCCTTCTTCCTTCCTCTCCGGTGTCCACTCCTCCCTCCGCTGCTGCATCCCCTCCCCCTCCCCCCATCTCTCCTCCTTCTCTCCGGCTCCTTGCTCTGCCCTCTCCGCCCCTCCCCAGAGAAGGGTGTCCAGCTCCTCCCGGGGCTGCCCGCCCGCGGCTCCTTCCCTGCCCACCTACTATGAAGAGCGACTCCTCCCACCTGCCCATAAAAGCCAAGTGCATGTTACCAGCACCGGATCAGAGCCCTTTCCTGGTCGTCTCCTGTGGGAGCCCCCAGCCTCTGTTCCTGGACCTTACGTGCTCAAGGTAAGACAACACTTCTGCAGGCATCTGAGCTACTAGGGGTTTCAGCTGGGAGGAAGTCTCCTCTGGTCAGCACACATACTGTTTGGTTAGAGCTGATTCTTAAGGATGCCAGATCAGCTGCTCCCTTAACCAGCAACTGATCTGAAAACAAACTTCTGTTTGAACGGTAAAATAAAAGTTCATTTGGGGCAGAAACAGAAGCATAAATATTGCAAAAAACTTTTCTCTTCTTAAATCACTTTTCCTCTGGTGCTGACTGTTACTGAGGTTAAAATGTATCCGTTTGGGGTGTTTTATTGACATTTTTTCATTGTAAAATATCTCACGTATCAGCGGGGGCAAGGAAAACTTTGTCCCATTGTCAAAAATGTGCTTTAAAAGAACACAATTAGTTTCCTAAAAATAGCACAGTCAAAAGGTCTGCTAACAATTTCTCGACGTTTTCCAAAACCCCAAGACAGCTTCTGTGAGTCCTTTAAAAAATATATCTTTCCAGGTTTAAGTGCTTGGAAAAAATGATTCTGTGAGCGGGTGCCCTTTCCACAGAGACGGTAATCAGGTGGCTGGTAGATAGGAGAGAACAAATCCAAGTTTACAAGCCGTGGCAGAATGTTCTCACAAATCTATCTTTTTAAGACACCCTAAAATGAGAATTGGATTGGAAGAAAGTGTATAAAAGGACTTCATGAATTTCTATACACACACCTAAACATAAAGCGTTTCAATATGTTTCACAATAGAGAAAAATACAGGCCAAATTATACAGTACTCCTGCATACACCAGACAGTTATAAAGAAAGATCGTCCAGAAGGCTTTGGAGGTTTGACCCCTGCTTGCCACCTTCTTTGCCCTCATCTAGTAAATTAATATTGACCTGATGGCACCCGATCCTCACAGAGATATCCAGGGGTTAAGCTGCCCTCATTTTTAAAGACTGATGTCTTCTTATTTCTGAGGTCTCAGAAGGAGCATTGTGCACCTGTGGAAGGAAAAACATATTCCACTGATGCTTCTGTAAAACCAGACACTTGGTCCATGAAGTTTGCCATCAAAATCTGTGGGCTGTGTGGGATGAAACTCTCTCATGTGGGAGAAAAGCCCTCTTCCAATGTTTCCTCGAGGGAATTGCACAAGCCCGCTTGCAGACGGCAAATCAAAGCTGGCAGTCAGGAAACCAAACCACTATTTCAGCTCTTAAGGTTCTTAAAGTAAGAGAGGAAAAGTTTCGCTTCTTTTTTTTTTTTTTTGGTTTGTTTATATTGTTTAACTTGAAAAGGAAAAACTCACGAAAGCTGTAAAAAATGCTCCACTATTGAAGAGAGTAGAATTATTACAAGTTTAACTGAGGGTCTTCCAAACTTATTCTCCTTATGGTTTGCATATCAAAAGAAATAATAAAGATTTTAAAATTCTGTTTGGCATGGAGAAGATTCAATGCTATTATTCAAATGAAAGAGTTATATGTAAAGCTTTCTGTCATGTGAAATTTTGTTTCATTGGAAAAAATTATTGCAAGGAGTGCGGTTTCCTTTAAGAAAATGATATAAAATTACTATTGGCCAAGATAATATGTGACCTGGGCACATTGAAATAGCTTTTATCTCAAGCCACAGTGCAGACAGCTTGCTTCATATCTGATGTGAGTGAGTGATCAACCGGGACAAGAGCACAGGTATGGGACAAGGCCAAACCAAGCGTGTGGTATGTCCAAGTTCATTCTTCTTTTATGGTAGTGCCGGATTCACGCCTATCATCACAAGGGTGAAATACACTGCTTCATTCAGCAGATCCCCTTGAGAGAAGCTATCTTTTCTTGGAGGAAAAAAAAATAGTGCTCCCAGTGTAAAAGAGCTCCCTGTTGTTCCTAAGTTTGGAGATGCAAAGTGTTCTCCTAGGGTTTGCTTCTGCTTTTCCTGGCAGTTGATCCACTCCACCAGCTCTGAAACATTTAACAGTAACTGCCTTCCCCGTGTGCCATCAAGTTCAACACCCTGAATAACTGGGCAAGAGTATCCTAGATTGCTCATGATCTAACTTCCACAGGGGCCTCTACCAGATACTTAAAGTGATTCTTCCTTCAGGTGAGATGATACTTCCCTTAAATGTTTTGAAAACTAGTCAGTGGTGGGATTTCAAGTAGTTACCCCAGTGTCTCCCCTTTTGCACAAGATATGGAGATACGATGTGAGCCTCCTCTTTATGCCATTGTATGGCCCCCCCGGCCCCCCAGACTAGGTTGACTGCCATAACTATGCACCATCATTCCAGCAGGCTTTGAATGACTTCCTTAATGTTTCCCAGAGAAGAAAAGGTGAGTGGCACTGGGTTCACTAGAGACACAGGAAGGGTACTCTGCTAATTTCAAGGGCCTGCTACACCCAGAGAAACACACATTTTAGATTTTCTACAACTCCCAAAGGTACAAAATCATATTCCTTTCATCATCAGAAAGTATATCCCACTGCAGTTCCATTTGTGAATCAAAATCAAGGAGAGGAGAATGAGAATAAGTAGAGAATTATAAGGGAAGCCGAGAGGAATCACTCCTAGGATGTGCCCCAGGAAAATGGAAAGATCAGAATCTCTGTTACAAATGCAATTTCTTTTTGCCATTACTTATGTGGGATATGAGGAGATGAGGAAGAACAAAAATCCCTATCTGCTCTTGTTTTTCTTTCTTAAACCAATGAGAGTATGGTATTTCCAAAAAGAAGTTAAGATGCAGCTCTACCATGCCCTTCTCGAATAGAAGAGAACAGCTCAATTCTAAGGACCAGAAAGATTGCAGGCCTGCCCCACATTAAAACCCACACAATTTTACCAATTATAATTTTAAAAGCTATATCATGGGTATAAAAACCCTCAGAACATATTTTTCACTGATGGATGATTTACATTAAAAAACAAAAAACACGACCCTAACTCTCCCAAAGGACCCAGTGCTGGGTAATTATTTGAAACTTAGGAGCAGCAATTTACTCCTTTTTATCCATGGTCATCCACTTCAGTATGGCAATCTGCAGAGTGATGGAGTTGCAGCCATATTTTTCAAACCTCAGTCCTCAAGTAACCCTCTGAGAACCAGGTCTTTCTTCTTGACTAGGCTTTCTGTACCACCAGGTCCCCATAAACACTGACATACATAATTTAAAGGAAGTACAGATCTTGAGACTAGAGTGCAGTCTTCTCTTCGGAGAGGTACATTGTTCCAACTATTGAGTGAAAAGAAAAACAAAAGGAGAGGAAAGGAGGAGGTTAACCGGAGAACGATGCCCTTTGGAATTTAGAGACTCTCTTTAGCTTTGTGTGAAAAGGACCCCTTACTAACGCAAAGCATTCAGAATTTTCTTTTAAAGGAGCAACTCACAAACTGTTATAAAATAGTGAAGACATAAGGAAAAAGATCTTCCAATGACCTAACAGTCATTAACAACAGTTTACACCCTACAGCACAAAATTAGAGCTCTGCTGAACTTCCCATTTATAGAGACAAGGAGTAAAGAGGGAGAGAATTAAGCACATTTCAGCACCAATAGAGACAAGGCACTAACCTGACATTCCGCTATCACTTTGGTAACTGTGTTTGCTGTTTCAGGAAGGAGACTCTGTGTAGTCTTTCCTCAAGGAAATAGATCTGCAGGAAGGGAGTCAGACAAGGTCAAGGTCGGAATGTCTATAATCTGGGGGCCTTCTGTATGCAAATCCACAAAGCCATTGAAATTGCATGGTATCAAACTGCAGTTACTGAAACAAAAATGTTCCCAAAACTGATCATAGAGTAGTCAGTTAAATAATTATGAATGCTAGCTTATCAATGTAGCAATGTAGCTACAATGTAGCAATGTAGCAAAAGCAACTCCCAGCACTTATAGCTGATTATATAAAATATGGAAACACACCCGATGGTTCACCTTCAATCTCCTCCATTAGTTTTGGGCTCACTTCCATTGTCTTCCCTGGAAAACAAGTGCTGCCCTTCTGCCCCTCAGCACAGGGTTTGCAAATGCAGTCCTGACCTCTCTGTGCTATCCCTCTTTTGTTTCACTAGAAGAAATCTCTTCTCAACTCCCATAGATCAAGTTTCTGGAGTACCATTCATACTTGTGGCTTTTCTAATTACCAAAAGTCTCATACTTCTCTTAAACAGGATGTAAATTTTTACTTCAACAAATAAAAAGGCTTTACATTTACTAAAGCTTAATCCATATACCCAGAAGGAAAAAAAAAGGTAATTTAAAATTGCTGCTTGCCTCCAATAGGATGTTTCTAAGCAATTTTATTTACCTGGTCCCTATTCCAACTTCTTATGGATTAAAAAACTTATTTAGAAAGTCATTGAATATAAATGTTGGAAGCATCTTTGGAGCTAATTTTAACTGAAGTTAATTTTACAGATGAGAAGAGGTTAGAGAGGTTAATGTGTTGCCTAAGACAACCCATACGTGTAGCAGCACCTGCCTGGAGCTCATAGAGCCAAGCTCTCCCTCCAATCAGCACGCTGCCTTATATAACTACAGTGGTCTTCCCACACAGTGTGGATCTCAGATGTCTCCAACTATACCAAGAATTCTGTTGGAACTTGGCATGTAGGGTTCTCAGAAACCATAACCTGGTAGTACCTCTACTATGGAATGTCTAGAAACACTGATCCAAACTCCTGTGAAGAGAGAAATCGCTGATTTTCATCATCATAGGGACTTTGTATGTCTTTC